GGCACAAACGGCAGTGAGAGACCTATCCCCGACCCGAAGGCGCAGGGAAGCGGCCCTCTCGTTCACCGGGGTAAACTCCAACACATGGCGGCTAAGCTGGGAAGCTATGAGCAAGCCCACACCAGCCCGCCGCCTCTCACCGCGGGCAACTCCAGAGTAGTAGAGAGTCCAGCCTCTCTCGAGGAGTAAGGTTCCAGAGCCCAAGCTGTGCGTGGAGGTGAGCCCGACTATATCTAGCCGGTACTAAGAAAGAATTAGTTGCCTGAAAATGCATCATGCACTATTTTGATAACTGATCATTTATCTTTTCTTTTGTTGCTGATGCATTAGAGTACTGAATTTCAGTACTCAGTACTCAGTTTTATTCCTGAGCCCTGACCCAGTTTGTGTTTGTGCCCTCAAGCTTTCAGGCCAGTCAACTCATACTGTACAGTACCAAACAAAACTATTCTACTGGTGTTAATTTATTTTGTTGCCATGCCATGCAGTAGATAAGCAGAGGCTGTGCAGTCATGTGATTGCTGAGTTCATGTCCCTGGGGCTATGAAAGCACCAAGCAATGCAAAATACTTTAGTTTGGCTTCAAAATCAAAAGACCAGCTTTCATCCTTCTTCCTTAACAGTTCTTCGTACCTTTCCCTCAGTTCAGCTCTTCTCAGTGCTGCCTGCATATCTGTCTAGATTCCTGTTATTTTATATGCCTCTTGAGCAGATGGTCTTTTACTCCCTCTTCACTTCAGCTAACCTTGTCGTCTCCCTCTTACCCATTGTTGTCGGTTTTCTATCATTCCTCAATGAATTTGCAAGAAACAACTGCTTGCTTTAAGATTTTTTTCCAGTTAATTGCACATAAATGACTTGTCCTATTTGCTGTAGCTCTCATTTCAGCTTTAGCTAAAGAAGTGCTTATGTACATTATGTTATCGTTAATTGTAGATAATAGTGGTGAGTGTGTATGTGTGGACTTACTCAGCAGAGTCAGCAGGCAGGATGGATACAGGGGAGAGGTGGGAGCTGCAAAGAGAGAGAGAGAGAGAGAGATCGGGGAAAAGGACAGCATGGTCAGAACATTGTGTACTCCTCGACTGCCTTCCCATCCCGACACAAAACAACCTTGGAGGGTGTGGGTGTCGGGCACCAAGAGTCAAAACAGGAAGAAGTCCATACATACAATATACTGTACATCTGTGTATACTATATGCTGGAGAGATAGAGTTGAGATCAGTCACTGAGTGTGTGTTTATGTTACTACTGCAGCTGTTTCCTAAGATCCCTGATGGCAAAAGGACAATCTAAAATAATGCAACACACACACACACACACACACACACACACCTTCATTCATTGGCGCCACTCTAGGTGGGCAGATTGTTATTTAGGCTACAAAGCTCTGCCTAACCCCGCTGATCAGATAGAAGGGTGTGTCATATGTGTTCTTCAGTGTTCCTCCATAAGCAACGCAGCAAATGTGTGTGTGTGCGCGCGTCATGAACCAGGGAGGTGGCTGCGATGTGTCTATTGATTCAGCAGGTTCACCCTTGTCTCACACAAACACATGGTGATATGCGTGCAGGACCCCAGATTTATATAACACTCCTACACACGCACATGGCAATGTCCTTCACATTGTGCCCAAGCGCTTGGGTATGTCTCATACATACTGTCTGTGTGTGTGTGTGTGTACTTCTATGGCCAACAGTGTGAAGATACCTTCAAGTTTTATACCATGGACACTTTGTTCTTCTCTTTAAAGGGATGTTTGAGAGCTAAGACATTTAGTTGTGATGATTAAGGAGTGTCTGTGTGGGTGGGTGTGTGTGTGTGTGTGACTCAGGCAGCCAAACTCTTCATCAGAAAAACAGCAGCTAAGGCCATGCAAACTTTGTTTCTTTAACACCACACAAACACACTTTTAGTGCAGGAAGAAGATCGATACAGACTGAAATAATAAGGTACACAGGAAGCAACAATGACATTGCCCTCCATCTTTATTTTTCTTTTCCCATCCCTTCTCTTCATCCTTCCCTTGTTTCTTGTTGCTATTAATTTCTGCCCTCTCTTGTCTCTTCATCAGGGTTACTTTCTTCTTTTATTAATGTTTTGAATTCAATTTGTTCTCTCCTGTTCCCCTTGATTTTTCTCTCCATTTACTTATCAATTTATTGCTTATTTTCACCTACCTCTTCGCCTGTTCTTCCCTCCTTGTCTAATATTTATCACTCTCCTTCCACCATACCACCTTTTTTTTACAGACGTTCCTTTTCTCTAACATTTGCTTTTCCTCAACTTCATCCTTCTCTGTCCACCTCCTTCAGGTTTCTTTTCTCTTTAATCTCCTCCCTTGCTCCTTCCTGACTTTGAATGCAACAGCCATCTCACATTCCCTTTCTGACACTGTAACCTTGATCATGGAGCATGTGATGGAGAGACAGACAAAAAGAGAGGTGAACAAGTGTTGTACAAAGCAGAACAGTGAGTCTGATAAAATGTTTGCAAAAGACAAACAAGCACTGACAAAAGAGTACTGAAATGTGAAAGAACTACTAAAGTAGTAACTAAGAACAAAACATTTTCTTTTGTTCTCTCACCCTCCTCAGTCGATTGACACTTGGATAACAGACTGTCGTCAGACTTCCTGTACAGTAATTTGTCTCCCTACCAAACATCGGGCAATTTTATTTAAAACCATCAAAAACCAGGCTGTCAAGTGAAACTCTTCTCTTTTGTTTTCCTGGTAGCCATCATGGACAACAGGCTTTTAAACTAGAACACACCCCATAGGATCCCTACTGCAGCGACTGTCCCTTGAAGACACAAATAGCATCTGACAGCAGGCTCTCTTGCTGAGTTGTACCCTTTGGGACCATGCGGGGTGGCTGCATCACTAACAATAGATCACTGATAGGGCCCTCAAGGACATTATGTAACCTCCACAGGCCATAAGTAGCAACAATAACACCTGACCTTACACCATTTTGCCCCTGATGACTTGAACTAAAACCACTGTTGTGGCCTTTGGGGTGTTCTTGCCGTCTTCAAGCTCCCAAAGCAGCAGAGATAACATTTCTATCAGCGTCACTTGAGCCCTGAAGGAACATACGACAGCATTTATAGAGCCCTTTAGGACAATTCTTCCCTGTCCCATGAGGGACAAGTAGGATCACTGAGTATTTCTGATGTAGCAGAACATGTAAGCTTTAAAAATATTTACTGGAACCACCAACATGACTTTTTCTAAAATATGATTAGAAAATATACCATTTAAGTGGAAAAACAACCCACTGGTCACTGCTCTGACAAGAAACTGCTGGGACAATTATAATGCTGATTTTGCTCTTTTAAAAAGTCATTTCAAACCATATCCATGTTGTACTGCAGCTAATAGCATGTAAATTCTTAAAAACCGACATGCTGGGGCGTCTACAAACAATTTTAATACATATCACTTTTGTTCTGAAGTTGGCACATTTAGAGCCAAAAGCACAATCGGGCAATTAAAGGCTTTGCTCCAAGTAGAGTTCTCTGAATTGGATTAGATCAGCTCTGTCCTCCAACCACAACTACAGCAGCAGCCAAAGATAGAGATAAGAACTTGATAACATCTTGATGAACCACTCCATCAGCTAGCAGTTTGCTGACAGTAATACTATAAAACCCAAGTAGCTACCTTGTTTTTCATCATTTCAAACTCAGTTTATTTTAACTCTAACTAAACACTTTTGAAATACATGGTCCAGTCCAGATTTCACATTCTCTGCTGCACATTGTTTGGCCAAAACAAAAACAACCAGTTTTTGCTGTTGTGTAGCTACCCTTAACAGATGGTAGTATATCATATGATCAGCTGCCCTTAACAGATGGTAGTATATCATATGTGTACAGTGAAAAAGGATCAGTTTCGTACAACTTGAAATACATACTGCAGCGCCCAAGTGACCTCGACTCAGTGACTACACAAGAAAAACATCTCAGCATGACTGTGGTTTTGTCTGCTGCACTGAAAACACAAAACACAAAACAAAAGAGAGTAAGACAACTTAGTGTTCTCAGTGCTGACCATAAAGAGCAGAAAGACTAATCAAGAAAGTCCTTATATTGTTAACAAAACTTACACTAATGGCTTGATATAAATGAAAGAGGCACAGAGACCGAGTGTGTGTAAGGTGAGTCTGCTGTGATTTTACAGAGATGCTGGTGTAAGCAACCCTGACTCTGCTCTGTTCTGGGTGGGAGGTACAGACCACTGCAGTCTACGCATCTACCCACACAATCGTCCAACATGTAAATCCTTTCAATTCAATTCAAGAAGACAATTCATTGCTTGGGCTTTCAACCCGTACTTCAAACATATGTACACTTTGTTTAAGCCCTTGCTTCCTTCCAACACACAGGATCTCATTACAATTCACAGAACCACAGCACCAGCACACACACAGAGAATTACAGGCATCATTTTACATCTCATAAACAGCTGTTCTGACTGCTTCTGAAACAGTAAAGATTTACAGTCCTTCATGTCAGGGCCAAGAAACTCTCAGTCTTACAACAGATGTTTGCATTCAAACTATCCACAACTCAAACACGGAGCTGGTCACAGATTCAAGACCCATGTTTAATTTTCTGCTTGAATACTGCTCATTTGTTTATCCACGACCACTTTCCAGCTGGGCCTATAAATGACCACTGCAACTCTCCTTCATTCATTCATTCATGTTCTCTTGGTTATCCCCCAGACATCTGCCCATCAGAGTAATCACCTATTTTGTTTAGTTGAATTAACACCTCTTAATTCACTCTTTAAAGTCATCATTCCTGTTGCAGAGTCGAGAGCAGATGATGCAAAACTGTTGACAGCTTGCAGTTCAATTGTCTAATTTTTCAGCACCGGCTGAGTATGTGTATAACTCGATGAGCTATATAAATAAACAGTGTGTGTGCAAAAAAGATAAAAGTTTCTGGCATCACAATGTTCCTGTCACAGTGATTAAAAATACAAACGTTTTCACAACAAAGTCCAAATTAGGGCTGTAACAAAGATTTTTTTTTTTAAATACAATTGATTAGTGAATCTATCCTTTTGGTTAATTTATTAAATGATTTGTCTGTGAACAGTCAGAAAAGCTGAAAAAAGAACATAAGGGCTTCCCAAATCACAAAGTGATGTCAACCCCATTCATTTACAGGGCAACAACTAAAAACCACCTTCAGTGTTGATTAATCCAGTGGTCATTTACTCAGTTAAATGTTTTGTCTGTAACATGACAAAACAGAAAAAGAAAGCCCACCTTAGAGCACTCTGATACTCAGCAATGTTAGGAACGTACAGAAAGTGCACCTACTTGCTTAAGATGAACACCTCAGGTATTAAAAAGGTATACTTGAATGGTGAAGCCAAAATGACCAGAAAATGCTTATTAAAGCAAGAATAACGGTCACGTTCTACCCGATTAATAAAAACACTGACACATTCTCAGCCAGCCTTGCTGCTTTCTTTATACTAAGACTGTATATCATAGTATAAACTATTAAGTGACGCCATGACCCCATTCATTTCTTCGTCTGCTTTGTTTCTGTTCCTGTGAAAGACAAGACAGACTTCCTCTCGTGTCTCCTGTTTCATCCTCCCTGGTAGCAAAACAAAGAGCAAGCACACAACCCATCCTCATTTCCCTCCATTCTTACATAAAAAGTGGAAAACTTTATATCTCTCAGCATGACAGTTTACAGCTATTTATAATTTTATCCATTCTTCCAGCCATCTTTTTTTAATCTACTTCATTTGTGTAATTCGTTGCACCTTTTTCCTTTTCCATGCACCTTTCCTCAATCATTCATTCATTCATTTATCTATCCATGCAATCGCATATTCCACTTAGACCAGAGAAATTACACAACCCTGATGTTTACCTCTGCAGCAGAATGTCACAGGTCATTCTCATGTTTCCAGTTGTGTTTTCTCTAACTGTCCTTTTTGTTTTTTGTGTCAGAGGATCCAGCCTATAGGTGTTTCAGTG